CCTCAGGGGCAGCCGCGACCTGGGGGGGCGCCGGGGCTACCGCGCTTCGTGAGATGGACTCCGTGACAGTTACGGTGAGATGCTTCTGATACAGGTATTTGCACCTGCTTTTGAAAGGCGTAAATATCTCAACAGTTTAGATTTATTCATTTGAGGGCTTTTTTCTCAGTGAGTCGGGTGACTTTTAAAGCCACCAAAACAGAAATAACCCCCTTTCCCATCCCCCACGCCTCCCCTCGGCGGGAACTTGGGCCTCCTGTGGCTCCAGGCTCCCCAATACTCACCGACCTAGGGCTCGCTGGTGCCCTATTCGGCGCCATTCCCTGATCTAGTTCTTTTTTCATTGCAGTATTTTTTTTCTTCCCAATTGTAAAAAAAATAATTAAATAAAAGTTTTTGTTCTTTTTCTCCCCCAGGACTTAAACTTTCTCCCCACTGTCTGGTGCCTTTCTTCATGTCCAACATTAGCCGGAGGAGCTATCTAAAATCCAACTATAACAAACTAAACTCCTGGAAGTCTGAAAACCTTTTAACCTGAAAAATAAAAATCAAGTTTTGGCCTTAACATAAGTATGCACTAGCCACCACCCCATCCCCAACTCCATCCTTTGTCAGCTGCTCTGCCATCTGTAAAGTACACAGGGAAGGGAAATTTTTGCATCACTAATAGGAATCGAGCCCAAAATAATGTAGAGTTTATCTTCCTCCTAGAAATTAGAATTAGATCTTAATTAAAGATTATAGAATATCGGGCTTAAAAGAGGCGTTAGCATTGTTCTAATTCATTTTATTTTATAGATAAGGAAACTGATTCTGCAGAATTCAGTGACTTGACAGAGGTAACACCACTTCAGAGGCTTGTTTCTGAATTCCAATCTATTCTTTCTAGCAACCACCCTGTGTTTCTTAACTCACTATTACTCCATAACTTTAAGGCTCTGGATGTGGAGGTACAGGTTATTTAATGATGGTGCTAAGAGAATTGACATCATATGATTAGTTGTATTTAAAAAAAAAAAAAAAGGAACCACATTCAGTGAAGTGTGCATAGCAAACTCTGAGCAACAGCTTGTTAAACTGTCACATCAGGAACTTTTAATTGGTCTGCAATCAACTGGGGTTCTTAGTATTACACACTATTATTTAAAACATAGCATTCATGTTTGTGGTAGCATTATTTACAGTAGCCAAGATCTAGAAACAGCCCAAGTGCCCATCAGTAGCTGAGTGGATAAAAGAGCTGTGGCACATTTACCTGATGGAATACTATGCATCCGTAAAAAAGAAGGAAATCTTACCTTTTGTGACAGCATGGATGGACCTTTAGATTATTCTGCTAAGTGAAATAAGCCAGTCAGAGAAAGACAAATACCATATGGTCTCACATATATGTGGAATCTAATGGACAAAATAAACTGACAAACAAAATAGAAACAGAGGCATGGATACATGGAACAGACTGACAGATGTCAGAGAGGAGGGGGTGGGGGAACTGGATGAAAGAAGGTGAAGGGATTAGCCAAAGAACATATATGAATAACCCAAAGACATAGATACCCGTGTGGTGATGGCCAGAGGGAAAGGAGGGTCGGGGCTAGGTGGAGGTAGGCAAAGAAGGGAAAATGGGGATAGAAGGAAAGAGACTTTGCTTGGGGCAGTGTGTGCAAAACACAGTGCTCAGATGATGTTTCATTGAGTTGTGCATTTGAAACTGGTATGCTTTTGTGAACCACTGTCACTTGAATAAATGCAATTAAAAAAATAAAATATTCAGAACCTGGGACAGTGCCTAGCACGTGGTGTTCAATAAATATTTACGGGATGAATACTTGAATGCACTTCATAAAAAATCAACATTTTTCTTGTTTCACATAAATTTTTTAAATGTAATTTAAGTGTTGATTTCAGGAAATGAGAAAGTAAGGCATAGCCATGAAGCCTCTAGTCCAGCAACTTTCAGCCTTTTTCATCTCATGGCATATAAACTAATTACTAAAATTCTGTGGCACAACCAAATATATATATATATTTTGCAAATCTGACAAAAAAATTAGGTATGATTCTGGTTCCTTTACACCTGACAGCTGTTGTTGTGTTGGCTATTGTCATTTTTCGTCTGCCAGTCTAAGGGAAAAGACGTCAGTGCCCCTGACTAAATAGTCTGGTATTGCAGGTTTTCAAAATTCTTGTGGCGCACCGATTACAGATCACTGCTCTATTACATAATGCACTTTGATAACCCAACAACCTTCCCCTGCTTTTCAGTTTATTTGGCACTTATTATTTGTAATGCTCTATGCTAAGCATTATCTATAGGATTTGAAGATTAATAAGTTCTCTGCTCTCTAGGCTAATTCATTGCATTTAACTTTCATTTGCCTTGATAAGGGTAATAATACCTGCTGTGTTGGAAGCCTATACTCTCGAGGGAATTGAACATTTTCCAACAGCCAGAGTTATTAAACACGAAAGTGAGTTAATGCAAATGAAAGCTGTATAATTTCTTTCCTTGTAGATTTTAGACATTCACTTCATACACTGGTCAAGGAATGGTTTAGTCACATTCCTGCCAGAGCCAGGAAACACCCCAAATGAATCTTAGAGGTCGCTTTTAACCCTGTACCCTTGAATATAAAATAAGCAATTTACGAACGATTCCTGGCTTACGTCTTACACAAGTGAGGTAACATAAGTCTTAGCCATCCTGTTAAATGCCCAGATAGGGTCCAGAATAAAACTTTTAAAATCGGACAATATGATAATATTGATCCTTTGAGAAAAACATTATCAAAGACATTTTTGTCTCCACTTTATTTCTTTCTTGCTGTATGGTACTATATAGTAGGATCACATGGCATAGAAAACCTAACTTCACCTTGTTACACATTTCAGCAGTTCTAAACCCTGGGTGGTAAGTTCAATCGATTCATTATATGGAAAATATAGTTTAAACATGGGCTCTAACACTTACTAGCTCTAAAATGTGAGAAATAATAGTGTCTCTCCATATACCAACAATCAACACAGAGCATCTTCTTTACACCAGGCTTTGTGCCAAGTACTATAGATTAGTTCATTTAATTTTCACAAGTATAGGTTGAAATTTTGCAACACTTTTCGACTAATTTTTTTCAAATGTCATACTTGCAACCACACTTCTGCCCGAATCTTGTTGCATACACACACACACACACACACACACACACACACACACACACACACACACACAAGAGAGAGAGGGAGAGAGAGAGAGAAATGAGAGCGCTGTTGGTTGTTTTTTGAAGAAAAATTCAGTTGGGAGAAATGACAGAAGTAAGAAGAAGAAAGAGCCATGCACATCATTCCAAAATGTGTACTGCAGTGAAATTTACATGCTGAGATATTTCTCGGAACACCTATTAGTGTCAAGAGACATTTCCATCACAGTAGATCAGAGAAACAAGGTAAAGAGGATTTTCCTTCTGTGAAAGCTCTAACTCTAAACACAATGTTGCAAAATGACATGTAGTTAGTCTACCTACCAAAATTAGGAGCATTCCAAATTGCTCACCTAGACAATTTAAAAAGCTGAGATTTCTGGGACTAGGAATATAAAGATATGTCCTGTTTTGTCTCAGTAACATGGTACACCTAGGGTACCAGGCTACCGTTAGGGGGCTGCGGAGGGGTCCAGCCCTGCCCAGAAAAGGAAGGAGAACTGCTTTGTCATGGCAGGGGGATAGGGCCTCCACTGCAGTCATTGAGAGCCAGAGGCATGCTTGAGGAAGGCCAGGCAGCTCCACTTTTCACTCCATTCTTGTGTGCTCCCTCCACTGATGCATTCAAACCACCTACCTACCAAATTCTCCCAGCTACCACCCCTTACAACATAGCTCCTTGTTTGTTACCCCAAATCTTAAAAAGAGAATACGCTATGACCTCACCTTCATCCCAGTTCTGGCAAGAACAAGAGAAGCAAGGCAGGTGTATTTTAAGTTTATGCTCCAGTATGGTCCATGTCACATATACTCACATTTATTTGGTCAAAGCCTAAATGGTCAAATCCAAACCGAATAAAATAAAGAAGTATATTTGGCCTACTGGATAGACTGGCAAAGGTGAGCAGGTGGAAGCAACAAATAATTTGAACAAATAACACAGTCTAACACGAGCTGAGTGAGGTCAGTCTACAAATAATATATATTTCTGCTTCTTTCTTTTTTCTATAGCTTGGGCTTTATGAATTTTGATTCTATATTTTTTGGTGGACAGAGAATGCTTTTAAAATTTAATCTTGCCAAATGTTAAGGTCATGACTTTAGAAGAAATATTAACTTTCTTTTTGTGTGCATTTATCTGTCTACTGAGTATATCTTTATTCATTGTCAACCTTTCTGCACCATTTTGTTCTAGGGAATTCTCTTGTTTAATTTTACTTTGTGATATGTGAAATTCCTATTTTAATTTAAACTATTTCTTTTTGTTGATATAATAGACATATAGTATTAGCTATATTATTCTTTCTATTATGTTGCTTCTTTTTTATTTTTAATTAAATGTATTGGGGTGACATTGATTGATATGAACATATAGGTTTCAGGTGTGTTTATGTGTTACAAGATCTGCATATTGCACTGTGTGCCCTCCACCCAAAGTCATATCTTCTCCCTTCACCATATATTAGGACCCTCTTCACCCCCCACCTCCTTTCCTCTGGCAGCCACCACCCTGCTCTTTGTGTCCATGAGTTTCAGTTTTATATCCCACATATGAGTGAAATCATATGGTTCTTAGCTTTTTCTGACTGACTTACTTCGCTCAGCATAATATTCTCTCTCCATCCATGTTGTTGCAAATGGCAGTATCTTGTCTTTTCTTGTGGCGAGTAGTATTCCACTGTGTGCATGCCCCACATCTTTATCCAGTCCTCTTATCGCNCATAATATTCTCTCTCCGTTCATGTTGTTGCAAATGGCAGTATCTTGTCTTTTCTTGTGGCGAGTAGTATTCCACTGTGTGCATGCCCCACATCTTTATCCAGTCCTCTTATCGCAGGACACTTTGGTTGTTTCCATGTCTCGGCCACCGTGCATAATGCTGCAATGAGCATGGGGGTGCAGGGTGCATATATCTTTGCGAATGCATGTTTTGGAGTTTTTTAGGTATATACCCAGGAGAGGGGGTGCTGGGTCGTATGGTAGCTCTATTCTTAACTTTTTGAGGAGCCTCCATACTGCTTTTGACAGTGGTTGCACCAGTCTACATTCCCACAGCAGTGAATGAGGGCTCCCTTTTCTCCACAGCCTCTCCACACTTGTTATTGCTTGTCTTGTTGAGAACAGCCACTCTCACAGGTGTCCCATCTTTTAAAATAGTATTTAATTGGTATGGTTTGTGTTGCCTTTCTTTTGTTTATGTTTTCATTATAATTTGAAAGGGTTGGTCCTGCTTTTATTTTTTATGCTAATCTCCACCATCTCAGTCTCCTCTAAACAGAGTATAGCTATTGGCCCACCTTAAGCAATTCAAAAGCATATACCTTTTGGTGAACCCTAACCTTTCTCTTCCCAATCAGATTACAGTAGGTGATATATTTTCTACCTTTATCTTTACTGCTCAACTACCTGTTCTAATCCTAACCTGGCTGCTTTACTAGATAAGAACATTAGGTAAGTTATTTAACCTTAATGATCTCCAGTTTTCTCATCTGTAAAATGGGAAATATCTATATCTTATATATATATATATTATTCATTTATATATTATGTATTTAAAGTGGCATCTGGAGCTATAAACACTCAGGTAGTGCTAGCTGTTATTATTGTTTCATTTAAATATTAATAGATTTTTAAAATGATTTGGAAATGCCAACTTCTACAACATGCTTCTCCTAAAGAACAAGCAAAGGGGACTTGTGAAGAATTCTCTTGAATTCCCCTGTTTTGCTTTTAAAATAATATATTCACATGGCTGAAGTGTGTTCAGTAAAAAGTCACCCTTCATCCCTGTCCCCAGCCACTTAGTCCCCCTCAGGCCACCATCATTATTAGCTTTTCTATGGGTTTAGCCATTTCAAATACCTTTTTAACCCAAGCTAAGAGAAATGAGGAAATCAACATATTTCAACTTCCTCCCTTCACCCTTCCTCTCCCAACTGCTGTCAGTTACACAATATTACTTCATCTTGACATTAAAAATACTTAAAGAAACTACAGCATATTCCTTGAAGTCTTTTGTTGTTGAATGAAAATTTAAGCAAGTATACAATTAATAAGTCAGGGTCCAGTTCAGGGTAAGACAAAGTAAACATTCTTCATCCGGCGTCTTCTGTGAAATGTAGCGACTGAACTTAGTGTGCAGGGAGGAATTTGGAAAGTCAAGAGGAGCCCGTGGATTGGGAGATGATAAGAATTTGAAGTGCCATCAGACAGGTCATTCGTTTCCCATGTCTTTCCTCTGCATCCCCCAGGCTAGGCTCAGGACAGCACAGACCACGGACATGGACATAGGTGCCAGCTGTGAGAGCTCCAGAAGTCCTCTTGTTTTGGCTTGAAGAGAAAGAAAAAGGCCTCCCAACACTCAGAGAGAATGGTGAGAAATCGCTGCTTTTTTTCCCCTTTGGGCTCAGTCCCAGCCCTAATGGGCTGTAGCTGAGGCAGCTGCAATGACAGTCCATAGGGAACAGCAGGAGGCTGAAACCCTGAGAGAACTTCTTCTCTGGTTGAAAGAGCTGTGGTCCCAAACGGATAGGACAAACCCTGCCAAGGTCACCTAGCTTAAGGTTACCTATCTGACACCTGATCCCCACAACCTAACTGCTACTCCTCCAAACTACCCTCTTGTTTCCATAAGACTTTTGAAGCTCAAAATTGACAAAGGTGATAGAAGAAGACCTGCTTGTTGAATGACTTTTGTGACAGAGACTAGCTGTTCACCAAAATCTCTTCCCTTCCTCCTGGGCACCCAACAAGATGCGTTTCCCAGCCTCCTCTGTAGTTAGGTGTGGCCGTGGACTGTACCCAGATGTGATGTGTGCCACTTCCTAGCCCGGTGTATAAAAACCTCCCACAACTGTTCCTTCATACTCTTTCATTTTGCTGATGAAAAGTGGGATGGTGATACCCAAGTATCCTCGAAAGCCACATGTTGAAGATGTCAAGGCTGACACCAGCCCAGGTTCTTGGAAAGGTGTATGGAACTGAGCACCCCCTGGTGGTCTGGAACCCACTTTGAACTTCCTCTGTGTTGAGTTACTGTATTTTAAAACTTTGGTTTCAGCATTTTAGGCAACCTAAAAAATATTTTAATACTGCTCCATAGGAATACATTATTTTGTATTTGATGTTTTTAGTGATCCTATTTCTTGGAAGTCTGTTGGTGAATTCAATTTAGTAATCAAATCTAGGTTATTCAAATTTTCTATCAGACCCAGAAAATTTGAGTAGATCTTATTTACCCACAAAATGCTTCTACCCAGGTAAAAATCTTGCAGCTAGAAAAGGCCATTCTGGAGAACTCACCCTGACCACCCTGTTTCTAAGTGTCTAATTTTTTATGTCACATACAGAATGAGTGTTACTCCATAACACTACTCCATCTTAAAGTTCTGTTTAATTAAGTTACATAGATTGAATTCAACTGGAAATATTTTGGTGCATTGAAAAAAAAAAATTCTGGGCCTTGGCTGGGCTTTGGTTAGAGCATAGTCTCAATATGCCAAGGCTGTGGGTTTGATCCCAAGTCAAGGCACATACAAGAATAAACCAATGAATGCATAATCAAGTGGAACATCAAATCATTGTTTTTTCTCTCTCTCTCCCTTCCTCTCTCTCTCTAAAAAAAAATCAATAAAAAAATAAAATAAAATTCTGAATGTAAGTTTTCCAATGGCCATTTTTGATGCCATCTTAGATAATATAACTTTTTTAAGTTCATAGAATACATATCTGGGGTAACTGGAAATATAATGAGAACACCTGGCCCGTTGTAAAAGTATGAAACTGAAGCCAAGTTTATAATTGTCATTATTTTTCTTTCATTATTGTAGTTATATTTATTAAGAAATAGAAGATCAACCTTAACGTGTTTAAGAGAGAACAAAACACACATTAGAAACCATAAGGACACAGATAACAAACAACCTGTGACTGAGTACATACTAACATTATATATTATATGTACATATAGCATATATGTATGTTATATTTGTGTAACTTATGTATATATAAATATTATAGTATGTATTATATTGTAACAGGTACAATAATATATATTTTATGTATATTACATAATATATGTGTATGCTCAGTAAATATATTACATATATAATGCATGTTCTCAGTTACAGATATATATGTGTATATATATGTATATGTGTGTATATATACATGTGTGTGTATATATCTATAACCATATATGTCATTAATGCTGAGAGAATTGTAAGAACAGGGTAGGATGAATCAGAGCCTTCCTCATAGCCAAGGTCATGTGATCCAATTCCAAGTTGGAGAAATGATTGTACCCACTAGGGCACTCTGCTCCCTCTCTTAGTTTCTTTATCTTTCCTGATGACCAAAAGAATGGAAGACAGTGTTTTAAAATCAAGTCAACACATATTGATTGAGTAAGGCACTGAGTTGGGCAACGGTTAAACTGGTGTCATCTCTTAGAATTAGGCCAAGAGTTCTGCATGATCAACAAGTTGCACAACAAAATGCAACTTCCTCTCTGCTTCTCAAAAGCTGGCTTCCGAGGGAGGCTCCTCTTTTACTTCAGCCTCCTTAAGTTTGTCCTGGATTTCCAAGCTCAAATAAAGTACCATGTAGTATTTTACTGTGAAATATGATTCACAAAGTACAGTAGAAGGATGAATAAAGAATTTAATTTACTCCAGGGAGAATATTAGGCAGTGAAAAACTTTTGGTCCATGTGTACTAAGAGGCCCATTTAACACCTCATTTTAGCCTGACTGGGCGTGGCTCAGCCGTTGAGCATCAACCTAGGATTAGGCAATCAGGGTTCAATTCCCGGTCGGGGTCGTGCAGGGGCACCTGATCAATGACTCTCATCATTGATGTTTCTATCTCTCTCTCTCCTTCTCCTTTCCTCTCTCTGAAATCAATAAAGATATATTTTTATTTATTTATTTATTTTAAATGTATCTTTATTGATTTCAGAGAGAGGAAAGGAGAGAGAGAGAGACAGACAGACAGACAGAAACATCCATGATGAGAGAGTCATTGATCAAGCCCACAACCCGGGCATGTGCCCTGACCGGGAATCGACCCCAGTAGCCTGGATCCTAGGTCGACACTCAACTGCTGAGCCACGCCTGGCAGGACAAAGATATATTTTTTAAAAAACTCATTTTAAACAAAGTGAGTTTCTGTTAATGATCCTTTTTTATCTGTCTGGAATCTGTGGGAATGTTAAAGTTGGGACAGACTAAAAGAAGATCATTTGGCCTTTTGCTTGTCCTCCTTTCCTTCTGAAATTATTAAGCCTTTTGAAATCATTTTGTTTATTCCTTTCTGTCCTTTAAAAGTCTTTGAAAAATAAAGCCTGTCTGCATGCATTCTAAGGTCTAAGATATGAGAAGAAAAATATAAATCTACGTATTTAAATTTGCTTACTTTGAAACTGCTGTGGACATCAATTGGAAATACAACACTGAAAATTTCATTACTTCAGTGAATAGCCAGTTAGGATTAGTCATTTAGGTATCTGAGAAAAATATATAATACATACTTTTTAAAAGCTTGCCTGGTTTGAAGTCATCCATTATTTATGCCAACAAGATTGATATTCTACTTGAATTCCGAGTGTTTTCTTTCACATTTGGGTATTTAAGACTAACTTTGAAAACTATTTGGTGCACTTTAAAAATGCCCTCAATGGCTCTAATGTTTTTAATTTGAGGGGCATTGAATTTAGTGTTTGGAAATAGAAGTTTCTTGGTGTTATGTCAGTTGAGTGACTAGGCTGGGAAAATGTTTCTTTTGATCAAAAATGAGGTGTGTCATAGGTGGTGAAACCTTTGCATAGTTTGAAACCACTTGGTTTGGAAGAAAAATAAAAACATTTTAAGTAATGGCATTGTCATTAGAATAAAAATCTAACCTTCCAGAGTACTTCCCTGAAGAGTAATATTGATTTGGAATTATAAATGATAGTAAATCATTAAAGTATATAGTCTATTACTTTATAGTCACAGCTCTTGAAATCTTTCATTTGCACTGGATTTGGTCTTTGATGAACATATATATCATCTCAAAATTGTTTAGTTTATCCCTCTTCCTGGAGATTTTATTTATTTATTTTCAGCATTTAAATATGCACACATAAGTCGTATTTAGAAAGAAACAAAAACAATAACATTTACTTCATCATATTAATGGTTTTCCTGGGATTACTTTTTCTCTTCTTCCACACCAAATTGTTCAAAGAATAACATAATATGTGGCAACATGTAACTCAGCTTTTCCTATGGGGTAGACACTGTACTAAGTATTTTTCATGTCATATTGCTAACTCTCCCTATGAGGAAAGTGTTGGTATCCTCACTTTAAGGATGAGGTAACTGAGTATATTAGTTTGCTAGAGCTGCCATAATGAAGTACCACAAACTGAGTGGCTTGACACAACAGAGATGTATTTTCTCACAGTCCTGGAGGCTAGAAGTCTAAAATCAAGGTGTCAGAAGGGTCATATTCTCTCAAGGTTCTAGGGTGAGAATCCGTTCTGTTCTTTGTCTTAGCTTCTGGTGTTGCCAATAAGCCTTGGCTTGCAGCTGCATAACTCCAGTCTCTGCCTCTATCTTAACATGGTCATCTTCCCTATGTGTGTCTCTCTCCATGTCCTTTCCTCTTCTTATAAGAGCATCAGTCATAATTGTTTAAGAGCGCACCCACTGCAGTATAACCTTATCTTTACTAGTTACATTTGCAATGACCTTATTTCCAAAAAAAGTTATATTCTGAGATTCTGAGAAGGACATGAATTTGGAGGGACACTACTCAACCCAATGCATGGAGACTTAGGCAAACTTCTGCATGTTAAGTTTCCCAGTCTGGGTAGAGCCAGGATTTAGGTAGAGGGTTCATCAGAGCTTGTCCTAACAACTTCATTATTCTGCTTATGTCCACTGCCCCATCATCTCCTGGCTTCTTTACTCCCTTATCTATGTAATCTTGTTTCCAGTCCCAGATCACGACTGAAACTCTTTGCCCAAAGGTCCTCATCTTGATCATTTAGCTTCTTCCATCACTGGTGAGGACATCTTTCTCTTACCCACTCTGCTCCCTTCATTTTCTGGCAACACTGCCTGAGTCTCACTTACAACACGGGGCACATGCTCCTCCTTGCATTGGCTCCTCTTACTTGTCTTATGCCCTAAATGTGTGTGCTTCCCAACTCATATTCCTCTGTTTTTACCTTCACATTCCCTTTTTTAGAAATTCCCTCATTCTCTTGGATTCAGTTGTAACCTCTGAGACTGAATACCAAATCTATATCAACCTACCTCTCCATGCTGTCCTCTTTCCTAAGCCCCAGTCTCATACCTCCCAACTCGTTTTAGACAAGCTCTACCATCATCTCTAACTTAGCTTGCTCAAGATCAGATATTTTCCTTCCTTGAAAAGGTCTTCTTCACCTTTCCTCTTTGCAAAGACGCTGCCCCAGTCCCAGTTCTCATTGCCTCATGGAAAGATTACTACAGCAATACTCTGGTGAGCTTGCCAGGCTCCAGTCCCTACCCTTCCAATGTCTCTTTCATAACCTTTCCCAATTAATCACCCCAAATGCAGTTTTCATTCTGTCATTTCTCTGCTCAGTGATTCCTTGTGTTCTTCATCTTTAAAACCCTCTGGTTTCTTTTTATTCACCATGTTCACCCAGTATACGTTCCCAAGACTTCCAACTTGCAGCTCTACTCTAGTAAGACTAATAACTTCTCTGCAAAAGTGAGTGTATTCTCAGCCCCATACTTTGGCTTATGTTGTTCACTTAACTGTTTATCCTTTCAAATTCTGTCTCTTCCGTCAGGCCCCAAATCAAATCCCATCTCCCTAAAAAAAGGGATCTCTCATCATTGCAGCTTCATTTCTTTCCAGTGGAGCTGCAAGAAGGGAAGGACAGAAAAGTTGTCAGGAATGCAAGATGTACTCTGTCTTTGTGACCTTTGTTCTTAGCTTCTGTGTTTATCTTTTTTCTACTCCTTCCTCCTAAATCTCAGAACCTTAAAAAATCAGTATACATATTACTCAACACTGTCCTGTTTTATTGCTGTTGCTTTATATTTCTCCCCAACTATTTTACAAGGCAAAGGAGGGAAAACGCCACAACTCATATATTTCCCCTGTAATACCTAATATTTATTGAATAATTTTTGCTTGATTTACTTAATTTAATAAAGTTTCACAATAGTTTGAGAGTGTGTTTCTTACAGAAGAATAGGGAAACCAAGTTTCCAAAAACTTAATAAGTTATACAAACTGGTTTTCTAAGCTAAAAATATTTTATCTTAGTTAAACAGAGTCTTCAATATGAATTGTAAAGGTAATTTTCTCAATAATGTGTGGAAAATCAATTATTAACATATTTTAGGGGTGTGATGATCTCTATCTTTTGTCTTCTAGAAGTCCTTAGAGGTACACAAACCAATAAAAATTATATTGCTAATACTGAAAAACTTTTATTTAGCAATGTGAAAGTATGTTGTTGTTTTTG